TTTCGTCCCGTAGGTCTCGTAAAAGGCGACTGAGAAATTCCAGAAATGTCTCCTGATAGACAGCGGTGTAACCATCCCGTTTAAGCGATACGTGAAACAATTAGATCAGCTATGGTAAGCATGTTATTTTCTAATTAATGTTATTAACGCAACACAACAAAGCGTTATAAAAAATATTAAAAGGCGTAATATAGTAACCCCTTATGCAATTTTTTTTGTGGACTGTATTATATATAAATTAAAATATGCTCGACGTTACTATCGCTTACTAAAATTAAGTATTTAATATCTCTATATCTATTTCTTTCTATTGTTATTTTGTGAAGAAAGAGAGAGAGAAAGAGAAAACAACAACAAAATTATTGAAACCTTATGGCATCATACAATACATATATTTGCAAGATCCGGAAGATCCAAGGCAAGTGATATGGTACAGTATCTAAAATACAAGAGTTATGCTGCTGCAAGCGTTAATGCTCCTGCAAAGCATAAGGAATTTAGCAATTCCTCCTCAACTATTCAGTTCCCAACAGCAGACTCTTAGGAAAATAGAAATATATATTTACATTCATTGCAATCTTTAAATAAGTTTATTGCGTACTATTTACGTTGAAGGAAAATTGCATCGTACCGAAACCGCAGTAAAATTTAACACGGGTAAGGAAAACATTCCACTTTAGCCCTCACAGGGGATACTTTATCGAAGCTCAAGCATTGAGTTTTATCTTTCTCAACGTAAAATTTAACTTAAGTAAGTAATGTGTTAAACCTCCGTATAGTTCAATTTACAACTACATATTTTATTCCCTTTTTTTCTTGCTTTCAACCGAATCATTCAGTTTTAATTTTAAAAATAATTTAATTTGACTTGTCGAACGTAAAACAAATTCGCATCTATTTTAATAATAACATTAACAATCCAAAAAATGGTTTCTTTGAACTTTATTTGAGATTTAAAAGGTCTAATAAGGTCCAAATACACATCGATTGACCCTATTTTATTCAAAACTAGCTATCCGCATCGGCTCGCACGGGTGATTTGTGTATCTTGACAACAACGCCACCTACTTAGGCCAATTAAAAATCTAAACGATTCTCGAATGAACTTAATTAAAATTGTGAGTAACATTAAATTTACAATTTATATAATAATAGTATTTTTCAAATGCTGAGATGCTTAATATTCTCTCTCTATGAATTTATGAATTTTATTGTACAATAAAAAATACCTTGCTTTGGTAGGTCATACCGTGGGGGGGGAGGGGGCTGGGAATGTGAGAACGTACGTGTACGTAAAGTACTACGTAATAGCCTATATAATAGGTTCTTTTAATGTTTATATCATATTAAAATATAACGCAGTTAATAAATTCTGATATTATTATATTCCTAGCTAATTTCCAACTAGTGCAGAAATCGGACTTGTCTTGAAAACAACAAAAATAATAAAAGAACTTCGGTAACTAACCCGCCTGAAATGGTAACTATGGCAATTTTACCCTTTATAAGCCAATCTATGCGGTATAGTTAATTTTAAAGTTATGCCAATTAAATTCGCCGATGAAAACACTATATATCAAAACATTAGCAATGACCGATGTGTAATCAACCACTGCATTTTAATCATTCAATTACTAGGCGCGCATACTAATACACGTGAAAATGTAATTAATTGATATGTAGAGAATGGGAAAAGCATTTGTCATTCGTAGAATTTATTGTTGACGATCGAGCCATTGTTATGACTATTGTGAAAAGCTAATTACAATCGAATTTCATACATACATATCTATTTACAAAAATTATATTTATTTAGTATTTCATAAAAATATAAAAAATCTTTAGAGGTGAAGTTGTATTCAAATCAGTTTTAACATTTATAAATATTATATTCCTTTTCTTCATCTTACAACCGAAATAGCGATTACATTATATTCCTGTCGGTCAACTTCACCCAACCTCACGGAGTTAGGTGACGGACGGACGCAAGTTTTTGAGCATCTAGTGCATGAGTTGATTGTTCATCTATATTAAACATACATATAATGTATCATCAATCAGAGGGTTATGGTCAGAGTTTCTCTGCGAGATAGAATTCAAAGTAACGCCCCCATTTCGGATTCTATCTCGCAGTAGAACAAGAGTAACCAAGATAACCCAACGGGTTAATAAGCTGAAGTGACAATTACACGGCCATATAGCTAGAAGAAGCGATAACTAATGGGAAAGAAAGGTACAATGGAAACCCCTGGATTTAGTCATAGTTGCCATGCGTGGCAGGCGAATTGGCAGTTGCATTCTTTTTATTATTTTGAGTTGTTATTGGGAAAACGCTGCTGCCCTTCTATTGGATTATTTCCTTCTATAGCCTCTCACAATACCACAGGGTGATATAGAGTAGGATATTCATACCCTAGTAGCAGCAAGCAAGCAAATCTTTATGTATAAAATTTCTATTTTGATCAAACTTTTATGGAGTAGTTGTGGCGTAACCTTTTTTTTATAGGATAGGGTGACAAACGAGCACACAGTCCACCTGATGGTAAGTGGTTACTGTGGCACATAGACATCTCTATCTATCCTCGATTACGAATCAAAATAAAGATGCGTTGTCACCCGTGAGAACTAAGATGGAATGCCTCTTTTCCAGTAAAAAGGGTCTCCGGTTCTCTACACTCACCATACGAAACACAGCAGTTTTAAGCTACTATTTTACGCTGATATTCTGTGAGAGCGTGGTCCTCCCCGGTCGAGCCGACCCATTTGTGCTACAACTATACTACTAATATAGCTGCAGCATGGCTCTACCACGTATAAATACCTGGATGGTTCTCTGTTATAGTTAGACCCTGTCGACTGTTGCCGTGATTAAAAAATCACCCGTACAAAGCCGGGCTGATTCGCTAGTTAAATATATATTGATTTGTAAAATAAATACCTAACGAAATAATTTCACTCATATATTATATCCCTTTTATATGTAGATGCTCATTGCACAATTTCATACAAATTTTTCCTAGTTGTACAAGTGTATAGGAATTTACAAAACAACGAACGTATGTAATAAAACAATCACAAGATTGTGTACCATAATTTAAGAACAAAAGGTTGTTTCTCAAACAACAAACACCAACGACTTGCACTATTTTGTTTACAGGACTGAAATGTAACAAAATTTCATTAGAGAAGGTCATCAGGAAGTCCAGAAAGAAGTCTAAAAGTCACATAACTTTTTTTATATACTTAAGTAACCTTAAGATGATGACATAAGTAAATTATTTTATATTTCTATAGATGTCGTAAAAAACGACTAAGATCATTCCAAAAAGATTTCATGACTTTTTCCGTGTAGATTTTTTACAGAATAAGGGTGACAAACGAGCACACAGTTCTCCTAATGGTATGTGGATGTTGTAGCCCATAAACATCCACATCTATTCTCGATTAAGAATCAAAATGCAGATGCGTTGTCACCCCTAAGTACTAAGATAGAAATTAGAGTTAAAGGCCGTGAAGGAAGAGGAAGGCGCGCCTTATGTTTCTGGTGCACCTTACCTGAAAAGGGAAAAGAGGAGGAGAAGTTCTGCTGAAGAAGAAGAAGAGGCTGCCAGTGTCATTTCGCGGCCGATGCAAGTGTAGCCGAGAATGTGTGCAAAAGCGTCACCGTGGCCCTTCCAATACGCGGTGAACTTGGAACACCATGGGGTTTTAGTCGGTGTGAGCCGGACATAAGCCGTCCGTGGCACTACGAGATGGTTGTGTGTAGGCATTTCCCCATATAAAAAAGGTTTCTCTCGCTCATACAACAAGTAACAAAAACCCTGTGGTTCCTTTTAACTGCGTTATCAGTCTAGTATACTCCTAAATATTACTTCAGAAAACTCGAACATAAAATAATTAATTACATTTAAATATTTTTTTTTAAATACAATTTCAAGGAGTTCATCGTTAGTAAAAAAGAGTCAACATGTGAAAATTGTTACCTCTTTAGCGAAGGGGATTACCGCTGCCTTTTTGTTCAGAAAAATAATGTTTGCAGGCTATTAAGTGGAGTTAATATATTTATTGATTATATAATATTATGTATCGCGAATCTCATTTTACTACAAATGCACATTCTACCTTCAGCTCAGCACCAAGCATTTCTCTTATCTTACGTCATATAGTTAATACTTGTGGTAACATCATAAATGAATCTATCACCCTGTTTCGTAACGTGGGTATCATAAGAGGCTACTGTCTAAAATGCCAGACAAAACATTATGGCTTTCGATAGATAGCAGTGTACTCATTACACAGTATAATCTATGTATTCAATGAATATTTTTGGGAGATACTAAAAAGGAAGAAGGCACAAATTGAATTTACCACTTGAATATCTTGCAAACGCCTTCTGAATTGCTTACTCAATAAAGATCGCAAACAAAGTCATCTGAAACCGGACGATCAACTGTCAATAAAAAAGATCACAATGAATGCCAAAACAATGCTTATTTATGTTTTAATTAAACAATTACATATCATTTTGGTGAATGAGCGTGATCTGTCCATTGACAATCAATTCACAACATAAAATATTTACTTTGCAAAGAAAAAACGTATGATTAAACGGTAGAACGGTTTAAATTGGGCTATAAACCAATGTAGTGGACCAAGTCTTGATAATCGTCGATTGAATTTGGAACGTACTCATAACAACCGTGCCAATCAACGGTGGAAGGCAAAACAACGGTTCAAGTCGAAACAATCAGTTGTAAAGAGATTTTCGTTTAAACAGCATCGATGAAGAAATTTGTGGTCTTTTCAATTTAAACCATAAAGTGAATTTATTTAAATTTAAAATATTTATTACTATTTAAACTTTAGTTTTATAAAAAAAATAGTGCATTATATCATATAAAATTATAGTTTTTTTTTCTTGTTTTAATACAAACAACGGAGTTTCCGGTAGGATGTTAGTATTGGGAAGTTGAAATGTGATGTGGCATAAACAAACGGAAATGAATCGTTTCTTGTTCATAGTTTTTTCCTCAGCACTTGTCGTCTTGACTTTACAGGTAAGTTTATTATTATTAACTATATCGTGAAATAGCAAAGGTAAGCTTAATTAATATGTGAGTATAGAAGTAACCATGGGGTAAAATACTACAGTGGCAGCCTCGTGCTGCCAAGTGGAGAACAGGACGGCTCCCTATTAGATAGAATGCCGACCTGCCGGGCTATTCACAATCGTCTCGGAAAGCGAATTCGACTCGGATTCGATAACTTCTCGCACCGAAACCATTAAACGCTATTCACATTTAACGTTCGGATAAAGGTCACTTAGATACATCCCATAACTATTGTATCGTCATTTAGTTACATGCATTTACGAATTTTGTAGATAAATAGGATTTTGTATTTTTTTAGAGTAACGCCTAAACAAAAACATAATGCAATATTTTGGTGTTAGCCATTGATATCGAATATAAAAAATATATAATTTAACTATATAATAAATAACAAAAAACTGAGATATGTCTCATTTCACAAAGCAGCATATATATATATATATATATATATATATATATATATATATATATATATATATATATATGCTGCTTTGTGATAGAAAACTTATAAAAATACACCTTTCACAAAAATTCAGCTTTACGATTAAGTGCAAATATTGAAGTAATTAATTATATGAAAATACGTCTTATAGATAAATGTAATTAATTTTTGTTACCTACCTTATAATTAAAAGGGTTTATTTATCTCTTCTAATCATCAATATTCGAAAAGTTTTCGCCAGCCTCAGAGCTCTCGTAAAGTTTCCGATGCAAACTGTCACAATTATCGAAAACAAACGTCAAAGAAGTACGGTCACGCCCCATAGAAAAAAACCCAGACCCGACAGAAACGAGACATATCTCAGTTTTTTTGTTATTTATTATATAGTTAAATTATATATTTTTTATATTCGATATCAATGGCTAACTCCAAAATATTGCATTATGTTTTTGTTTAGGCGTTACTCTAAAAAAATACAAAAGCCTATTTATCAACAAAATTCGTAAATGCATGTAACTAAATGACGATACAATAGTTATAGGATGTATCTAAGTGACCTTTATCCGAACGTTAAATGTGAATAGCGTTTATTGGTTTCGGTGCGAGAAGTTATCGAATCCGAGTCGATTTCGCTTTCCGAGACGATTGTGAATAGCCCTGCTGGTAAGACTTGCAGACAGTCGATGGATGCAGGAAGCTTAGGGGCGCGCTTTGTAGTATTATTTAGGCTAAGCTCATGTTCAGCAGTGGACTTGTGAGGGGTTGTAATGATAATGATATGGGGCAAAAATTAATAGTATGTTTCTTCAAGTGTCATGTGATGAATATGAGTAAATGTTTCTAGAGATAGACCAAAATGCATTTATATTCTTGAGAATATGTTTAACCAGTAGAAGCTTCCAAAGGCTTATTATGAAGAAGAAGTAACGTAGTGTAACTGCTGAAACATATCCTACTGTGTGCAATATGTCTATCTATATTATCAATTCAATAAAAAAAATCTGCAATGGAGGTATCAGTAATCGGTATTGGGGCCCAGATTGTCCAATAAAATTTGCAACCCCTAGGTGGATGAAGATTCGATGTAGTCTTAAATTATATTAACAGCTTCGAGGGAAGTTGGGGGTTCATAACTACCCCGGAATGGGCTAAATTCACAGCACCAAGAAAACAGTGAGGGCTACCACTGTAAGGTTTTAGTCTGTAGGATTCATTTTTAAAATTACAGGTCAGATTTTTAAAGCCTGTCTCAGGATAATGATAAAATATACATCCGCTACTAGAGAAAATAATAAAATAGCAGCATATTTCTGCTGTATTTCGCACGGTAAGTAATAAGATCCGGAGACCGCTTCTACTGGTTACAAAACATTTCATCTTAGTGCTGAAGTTAGCGCATCAGTGTTTTGATTCATAGTCAAGGAGTTTAATGTACTATTCCTTATTTTAATTATTTGGAAATAATTAAGCTAAGCGAAGCCAGTAAGTACATTTTCCTATCTAGTGCAACAACGTAGGTAAAATTGTACTTTTCTTTCTTTATTTTCATTTAACAAAGAGGTTACTCCCATTAGAATTTTCTTTAACGTGGAGGCACATTAGCCTGAACAATTATTTGTAGCCATACAAATACTTGTTCCGTGTGGGATTCGAATCTGGGGCCCTCAAAGACGCAACACAATGCTAAGCCACTGCCCCAGAATGTATCTTTTTGTATTTTTTTAATCACATTTAGTAATTTATTGTTGAAATATATCCAAAAATTAACTTTGGGCGTTTTATTGAGTACTTGGCCAAATCACCTACAAGGAAACTAAGTGTCCTTGCTAAGGCGCGGTGGTACTTCACGCCGGAACATCTTAACCTCTATTAAGCGAATCTGACCGTGCATGGAGTACTGCTGCCTGGTATGGCAGGGCTGATAATGGTGCTGAAAATGCCAACAAGCAGCATTGAATTTTAAATGAAGGCATGCTAAATGGCATATTAGAGACCTTTATTTGGTTAATACCAATTTCGTCAGCAACGGACAGAGTTTCCAGCCTCACGGTATTTTATAAAATACATTTTGGATTGGAGATTTACGTAGGAGCTATATGATTTAATTCCTTCCTCTCGTTTCCATCTTTACATAACCAGATGGTGGGCTGTCCACCAATAAATTTTTAAATAAGTACATTGCGATTTACCATCTAGGACTTTATCATTATATTGATTATTCGCATCTCAGTATTCATCCGCATCTTGCGAAGAGACGTTGCACTTCTCTGCGTATTCTATCGCATATACCACGGGGAGTTCTTCAAGAAATTGTTCAGATTGATTCCAGCTGCTAAATTTCACCATCGTAAACTGCAACAGAGCTGTTAACTCCATCCACATCATGCCGATGATTGGCAGTCCACTATTATCTATTTTACGAGAATATTTTTGCCAGCGGTTTTCTCGAGCAACCGCTAACAACACTAAGCCAGCGGTTTTCCCGAGCCGATACAACTTAGGAACTTTTAAGAAAAGTGCCTTATCCGTTCTAAATGGCCACCAACATACCTGCAATTCCTGCCCTGGTGTTCATGGGCGGCAGTGATAAATTAGGAATTTACTGAGCATGTCGAAGGACCATTTCTTTGCCTACTCTTCTATAAAATAATACCACCCCTTGCTACCAGGTGAGGTTGGAATTACAAATAAAAACTAGCTTATAGTTAAAAAAACTCTTTTTAACAATGAACAAAAATTATAAAAAGTATATTGCTAAAAATTTCGGAATAACGATAAGTTCAAATCGTCTTTTCGTATCATTTTTCAAAATAGTTTAAAATGTAGGTTAGGATATAAATTTTATGACATTCATAAATGTTTAAGAACGTTTCCTTTTGTTAAATTTTATTATTTTCTGCTGCAAAGAACGCTTCAAGATTACGTAAAAGCGTAACCATTGACGATAAACTTGATAACTCTTGATGCGGTAAGAGCTGAGATCTAAAAGGTTCGTCGCAATATTAACACTTGAAAATACACAATAGCACATACACACACATCATGGAATCTAGGTTTGAAACGATACTTAGGTCAATAAAAATATTGTCTGAAACTAAAATGTATAATCTAGTGTAATCATCATCATTACCATCATTACAGCCTTCAAGTCTACTGCTGAACATAGATCTCTTTCAAAAAATTGTTACAAATTACGGTTCTAAACTACCTGCATCTATCGACCTTCTTCTTCTGCATATCTTACCAGGTCGAGGCCCCATCTGGATCGTAGAACACTCCACATACTTGCACCAATGTTATTTATATACATTCATAATTTTAATACATTTAATGCCATCTATCGATACATTAATCATTCGATACAATTTTGGAATATTTTTCACAGGGGGCTTAAAAATGAAAAAAAAACTATTTAAGTGTTTTTACTATCTTACTACAGAAAATGTTCTCTATCAATCTGTTGCGGCAGGAGGGGAGGGGGGGGGGGATGTCCTACATTCCACTCACCAGAACGAGGCTCTTTAAACCGACTGAAGAAAGACTAAAATTTTACTATTATTATCTATTGAACTTTCATCTGATTCGAATGTTTACACTGTCGTCACTCACAGTTTATATGATATATGTTCTTTTTTTATTTCATCTTTAGCACAGCAGTGGCTGTGCGCAGTTTTCTTCTGATTAATATGAATATTATGGAGCAGAAAATATTTTTAACTCTTAACACACTAACAACTTTGCTGATGTGTTTATTTTCGTGAAATATATGATAAATTAGTTAGCACATAAAATTATTATTAAAAATTTACTCACTCAGCGGGGATAGAATTATATTCAGATTTAATAGTTTTTATTTTTTTAATACATGCACGTTTTGATTTTAAACTTACCATCCAAAAATATATAGGTCCTAAATCCCATCTCTTTCCCAATTTTTAATAACCTTAAAAATAAATTCGAAGCTTGAATTTTTTAACCTTTGTTAATTTCTAATGATTAGAGTTCACCATTACAAAATCGCAAACTCATTTTTTACAATAAGGTTGATTAAATATACCGCGGCAATTTAAGTTTCATGAGGCTTTACAAATTTGTTTTACAAAGCAAATGACCTAAAAATGGTAGAATTTTATACTAATATGGATGTTACATATACATATCGTACAATATCGATCTGTTTCATTTCATTAAAAGCAAAGAGTAGAATTTCTTTACCAAAAACGTTTACTGTGTTATATGTTGTTGACAAATAAATATTTATTATTATAATATGGTAAGAGTATTAAATCTAGAAAATAACTAAAATAATCTTAAGGGAATGCAACACTTAAGATTGAGCTGAACTGACCACTAACAGTTTTCTATAATTTTATCTTTATATTTAAAATAAAATATAAAAAGTAATACAGATTAGGAATAATAATTATTAAAAGTAATTTTTAATTTTATCATTATATCAAACCTTTTCTTAGTCTTTACTTATTGAATTAGTTGTTTATAAAATATGTAGACTGTATGACAAAGACACATCAATATATATTCCAGAATTGTATCAAAAAGACATCATAGTAGAAGTGTTTTATTCGTGCTACCGAAAATTAACCTATAATCGATTTTACAGACGACCGACTTCCAAGACAATCTGATCAATGGATACCGAACGTTAATAGCAGACATACAAGTGCGTACGCAAAAGTCAAGGGAAGACATGGACACGTTGGTGTCACAAATCAAATTGCTTATGAAGAACGAAGCTGACAAAGCCATTAACTACATGACGGTGTACCTTGAGCAAATATCCTTATATTTTCAGGTACAAAATATACATTATTTTTTTAACTTTAATTCTAGTGATTATTTAGGGCAAATATAAGTAAAAAAATTTGTAATAAAGTGTGTGTAATTGTTAAAACACTTTGTTTTAATTATATTTAAACATGGTAGAGCCATGCAATTACATTATGATTGTAGCACAAATAGGTCGGCACTACCGGAGAATAATCACGCTCTTGCAGAATAAAAGCGTCAAATAGTAGCTTAGCATGTTTGATGATAATAGATCCTTTGGTGATTGAAGTGATCTGGTGATCTTTTTTACTGGAAACAAGTTATTACACCTTAGTGTTTAGGGATGACACCACATTTACATTTTGATTCTTAATCGAGGATAGATGTAGATGTCTTTGCTCCACAGAATCCACTCGCTATCAGGTGTACTTTGTGCTCGTTTATCACCCTTAAACAATAAAAAAATAGAAGGAATATATAAAGACGAAATCAAGTACGTGACCAGGAAAACGTTAAAACTATCTCGAAGTATAGTTTAAATTGTTTGTGCTAAAGTTTTAGATAAGTGGCTAGTAAAGTTTTCAACTAAAACAATCGTTTTAGACACCAAATCTACAACGCCTTAACAACGACAAAACTAGTTTCTGTTTTCAATTACAAAGATGTAGTGATTGGAAATAATACAAGATAGACATTGTATGTAATCTACAAGTAAAAACTTTGTAATGGTTAATTTCAATATAAATTTATGAGAACAATTGATTGTAAATAAGTTTTGAAGTTTCAAGATTGTAAGGTTCTCTAAAAACATAAAATTAAATAAAAATAAAAAATTTAATATTTGAATAGGTTCATATATAGAAATAAAGCTCTAAATAACCAGGTTATATACACTTTTCTAGGTAATAATTCATGACCGTAAACCGCGAAATGGAACCTACTGCAAAGAGAGCATCGTGAAATTACTCGGAGAAAATCTGCAGTTGGCAGATGAAAATGTCACTTTATGCTTAGCATTGGGATACCAAAGAGTACAAAGGCTGCCAGGTAAGAAAAATAAATAATAATAATCCTATTTTCTGATGTGAATTTGATTTAGACCACGGTTTACATACAAGTTCGTTATTGTTTATTACATAAGTACACTATGTGCTTATAAACCTCCAATGACTTGTAAATTGTTGTAAATTGTCATAAGTATTATTGTTAACCTATATACGTACAGACCTCGTTTTATTTTGCGACAGTCTTCCTTGTTTGCCATGCATGAGTCCGTACGAAACAATACACGTGTATTCAAAACAATCCGTCAGTTCTACAATAATAATCATCGGTAATTTAATGCCAAAAGAATTTCTGATATTTTCTCAAACAAAATGATTTTTTTAGAATGCCGTAATCAAATTCGTGAGTATCGAAAGAAAAAAATATTTATTTAATGAATTGTATAAAAGATTCACTCACTTCACACAACATTTTCACTATCTTCTTGCTTATTTTTCCAAAAATGTAGAATAAAATTATCACATACATTTACTTACAAATACAGCAAAATTTTAATTAACAGGGTCTAATAGCGTTGATTTAGGTTTCGCCATTTTCATCCGTCCGTCTAAGGTTTATTCACAAACCCTAGATGTTATAAAGCTGTAATTTGGCATAGTTATAGATGTTAATTACGAAATAAAGGCATGATTTTTTTTTACAAACACGCTGAATTTTTACCCATTTATTCCATTGTGTGTTGTGGCGTTGGATAGGTTTTTCAAAAATATTGCGACAACATTTTTTTCGATTCAGGGGTTTTTTGGGAAATATTTAGCTTTAAAGTGTTTTTCTTTAATTAGATTCGGGGGCCATACGAGTCTAATAAAAAACGCACCCTACCAACTCAACCGCTGTTTTTGGAAATATAAAAATTATGCACGATAGTAATATATATAATGAAGTTATAAATGACTGCCTCGTTCTAAACGCGATGATCTTGAGGTCCTGGGATCGAATCCCGGGTGACTCAAAATCAGTGATTAGGTTTTTTTGACAAGAAATTCTCAGTAGCGGCCCGGAGTCAGAAAGTGGGCGGTGTTTCTTCACCCCGTGTCTCGGTAAGTACGTAAAGCCGATGGTTCTGCGCCTGATCTTAGGGAATAGAAAGTACACCTGTATTTGCGCTAACACTACAACCGTGCCCTGTGCAGATGAGTAGTGACCGCGGAGACTAGCCATCGCAATGACTGGCAATTCGGTCTGGAGGGCATTAATGAAGTTAAAAGAAAAACCATGTTATAAAATGCACTTTCATGCAAAATTTCTTTACAATTTCATAGAAAATGACTTAAACTAGCAGCATTATAAATTTGTAATGTTATTGTAAACTGTAAAAAATATAAAGTTTTGAAGAAAATGACTCATGCATTACTACTTTATAGCTTTACATTTTTCTTTGCGGGGTAGACAGGGAGAATTTATCACTAAGATACCTTATTCAGTTATTGTAGGCTTACAGTTTCATCTGTGGTACTCTTGGTTTATGGGAATATTCGTTACTGTTATGTATAGCTTAGGGTTGCACTGCCGGGAACTAATACATGGATAGGGAATTATGAACATTTTTGTACGGACTTGGCACGTGAATGATTTGATGTAGATTGTATTATTCTCAAAATCCAAAAGTTTTTAATCTTTTTTGAAAAGCACTCCCTGTAAGCATGCTTGAAAAATAAGTCCTTCAGTAACCATATTATAAATATACTATTTAAGCCCATTTTAAGTCGTTATAGTTATCAAACCGTGAACTCATTTAATATGCTAATAGTATCAAGAAGGCGCATTCTACACGTACATTGTGCATGGGCGTTTTTTTTTCAATACCATAGTCATTCTAAATTAGAAAATTAATAAATAATAAATGGCGCAAATATTGACTTTTGGTAGTGGAATACATATTCGAGTTATTAGAAATTTCTACAGGAATTGTATCCGTAACTGATTGTCCCGCTGATGTCAAAAGGGTTTGGTCTTTTCATGTCTACAGGCTAAGTATAGCCAGCGTTCGTTGCACTACGCACGTGGAGTAGGACTATTTAAGATAATACTAGTTTATTTTTTTTTTGTTTGAAACCGTTTCTTAAATATAATATATTAAAACTTTATAAAATAAATTCTTATTTGTTTAAAATTCCTCTGAAAGCTTTTAACTTAATTTCGGAAAATGTGAAACAGTATAATCATTACAAACGACATTGATAAGATAATTGGCTTATCACATGCATGTACCTTATCATGTTTCCATGTCATTATATAAAAAGACACTTAATGGTCATTGCGATTATAGGTAGTAAAGTTAAGTGGAGGTTATTTTAAAAGGCAACTATGAGAGAGACCGGAAGAACATATTGTGACATCTAATATAAGACGGTATACCATTTCACACATGTCATAGGTGCGAAAATACTGCAATCGCCAATTCACCTGCCATGTGTGACAATTATAGTAGTTCATTTGCATAATATGAGAAAACCATATATAACAATGGAATATTACAGGCTGGTAAAGAAGCAGTGGACGAGTGTGTATAATGGTCTCGTTTGGTTTCAGAAAAACTACAAGTCCACTTCGAAACTTTAGAAAATTTGAAGAAATATTCAGCGTCAAAACTATTTGAGTGTCAGAAACAACAGCAGGTCGGAGGAAATTGCTCACACGAAAGCCAGGATCTTGAACGGACAGTTGTAAGTATCAACAAATAAGATAATTAAATGAAACATAAATATTTATTTAAAAGCATATTAGAAATACTTGAGATTCCCGTCAACATTAAATGGCAGATTTCAACTAATAACCTTAGATTTGTAAGTCTGTACTCCACCGATGTTCTTAAAAAGCTTAAAATTTAAGTGATCTTTTTATTGCATAATATACTTCGAACAATAAACCTAATTATAATTACACTTATATATTTGACACAAATTATCTTCGAGCGCATTTGATCTCATGAAATCTTATTACTTTCAGTTCCTTTATGAAACTTCGCCTTTCCCTGTAGTAATGGCTGAAATAGCTATTCACGGCTTCAAAGAAGTATCTGACTTAAGCGTTTGTCTAAAAGACATAATTTCAAGGATGATGACACATTCAGTTAAAGTAATTGGAGACTTCAATAGATGCATCCACAACATTGAGATGCCAAAATTGAAATATTTATTGAAATTCATGAAAAAATATGCGTAAGCAGTCGAAGAAAGAAGTATTTATAAGAAATTAATCAAAAATACTTTACTGTAATTTCTTAAAAATAAACATAACATATTCTGCCTTGGCAATAAATAACAAAAGACGAAAGTTTGTTGCAATAACGTGACACAGTAAAACAATTATAAATATAAGGTCTGGAGGAATACAGCTATATAAATATGGCGTAATACATTATAAGTATATTTATTTTATTTTAAAAATATTTGTTTCACAATTGTTTCGTAAAATAAACGTTAAGATTCAAAGCAAGGTGTCTGTTTATCATTTCTTCAGTAAAAATTGCTTTCAACCTGCTGTCGCTTCTCATGTAAATAGATCTCTTATATTTAAATAAAATGCAGCTTCTGCGATTCCACGACGCTCTGGGATGAATATTGCAGTGTTTATTTATATTTAAACATCTTTTGTGACAGGTTTAAAAGAGGTAGAGGTAAAAATTTAAGGAATAATAATAGAATACATTTAATTAATAGATTACCGACCCGAATATACGGGGTTATTTTTCAAAGATTAGCCAAATATTAAACTTAAGTTCAAATATATAAATAATAATATACTGTTATTGCAGTTTTTGAAAATACGTGTAAATAAGGCTTATACATTTATTTGAAACTATCCCAAATTGAATGTGATTCATGGGCAACAACGTTTTTGCCTAGCGAACGACCCTTACGAATGTGTGCGTGCGCAGTAAAAATAGTTAAAATAACGCATTACCACGCATTTTGAATTTAAAAGATAAAAAGGACAGAATGTATGAGATTTTTTTTATTAATTTTTCTTCATCATCTGCCTATATTACTTATTCTTATTGCAAAGTAACCCTGTATATTTATATGGACCGCGTAGTGGCGGTGTAAGAATATCTACTATCCCATGTCGTACCGTGGGTGTCATAACAGATGACAGAGGGAAACAAACCAGGAGATGGGTAGCAACATCTTCTTTAAACAACTTGAAAATAATAAAACTGCGGTTTCTAACCGTTGCAACTATGGCAAATATCCCCATATGAGACATTTTATGGGGAAGGCTTATGTTCAGTAGTGGACTTTTGATAGGCTGGCAGTGATGGTAATGGCGATAGAGGTTTGAGTGGTATTGAGCGTAGCGGTATTGGGTTTAGGTTTTTCTACTTTTCCTTTTCTGTTTTTATTTATTTATTTTATACGCGTATGAATTAGAAATTGCTAGATATAGTTATTATATATATTATGTGAACATACTTGTAGATATTTTAACGTAGTTGTTTGTAATTTGCACCCATAATATCCTCTGTGCTTAGAATGCATTTTTGCATTAAGTCCGCCTTTTTGTACTTGGTGTGCAAATAAAGTCTAAATGAATAAATTTTCAAAATAATTTGTACTAATCGAGATAAAATTTTTTAATTTTAATAAATTGTCTACAAGCAAAAATCTTTGACGTTCTAACTTTATTTTTTAAAGTGATAGCCATATAATATTTTTCCATAATATGGAAAGCATGTTATTAAATTGAATTCTTCATTTCATTTTTATTTTGAACTATTATTTCCTGATAATAAGCAAAAATGTTTCAAATAAAGTAACTTTTTGTCGAGGTTTACTTAGTGCTCAACAAATATGCATGCAACGAGAAGAGAGGAAATCCTCGCCTTAAGTTCAAGTATTTACATACTAAATAAATTATATAAATGAATCATTCAATTTTTTTTTCATTTCGGTTAGTTGCTATAAATTCAAAATTTTTGTAAATTGATAAGGTTAGGTTGATCGAACTTTGTGCATATGATCCATGCCTGAGATTTTAATAAACTTATCTACAATAAAATGTTAATAAACTCAGTTATAAACTACATATAATAATATCAGTTAATATAAGTTATTAAAACTATAAATCAGTTAACAACGAAAATAATTCCATAGCCTTCATGTAACCTGCATACTCTTAAGAGACAGTGTAAAAACAATGCCAGTTTTTAAAATTACAAGTGCTATTTTCTCCCTTAAAATAAAATCTAAGGAGAGATAAAATTATTTTCGAACTAAATTTTATTGATGAATAAAGTAACATTTGGTAAATATGGTATAATATGCTATGACACCAAGGCAAGTGAAAGAGTTCAGTGTAAAACTCATAAGCCTTCTCTAGCCATAAACTTACTCATAATGGAGTACTGTTATGAAACGATTACATTTTGATTTTCACTGTTTTGCAAAATGTTAACGTAGTGTTAAATTACACAACGTTAACGTTTTTTAACGTTGTGTAATTGTTTGACCTTTAAATGACACTAACTAAAATCGAATACGGCAATGACAGATATCGGTTATAGTGAGAAAGGACAGGAACGCAATTTCTCAAAGAATAGAAGTTAAAGTTTACTTACCAAAAGTATAACGACATCAGTTGAACAGGGCTGATACTTTAAGAGTCTGCTGAATCTTAAAGTCCTTTGAGCCATCGTCAGTGGACCAACAGGTCGCGACACATGTATAAGAGGAGAGGGTGGTTGCTGTGGGGGTGGTGTAGATGCCGGTGGAACATATCTTCTTACAGTCTCTAGCGGCATTGTCCGAGCTACTAAACTGTCACTGCCAATCGAATTCGCACTACCACTGAACAGGTTCATTAGATCGCCAATAGAACCACCCCCACTAGATCCTCCGCCACAGCGAAGCTTGTCTAAGTCCGTTAAACTGGAGCCGCGGCGAACGCGGAGGCGTGATCCGCTCATATTCGTACGGCTAGAAAAAGCTTGTTCGCGGCGAATATCAGCCTCGCTCGCCGCTTGGCCCTTGCGACTACGCATTATTCTAAACATTTATGAAATATTTTGTAAACCAATTCTGTATAACTCATGAACGTTCACAAAACTACTGGGTGATACCACCTGAAGTAAAATTAATTTGCATACAGATGGCTGATAGGTGCGCGCGCGTCGTACAATCATTTGGGCCACGGCCGCCCGCAGGATGTCGCTATCGCGTCCTTGCATGCTTCCGACGGCATCGCTTCAATAATAAATATACGGTGTAACTTGCAATACTTACGTAAATTTTCAACGTCACGAATTACTTTAGGGTTGTTGCCGGCTCAGAGGCTATATACAAACTAAACGGAGAATGTGTAGTTTCATATGGCTAGAACAACTCAGTAGAACTAATGAGGTGATCGGGTTCAAAGCGTCACGGGACTCAGCGGGCGGCAGCCACTTAACGAACAGACGGCACTATTCAACAACTCATAGGTTGTCTGTGAATAAAATTAATTATAGCTACTAATATAACAACTCAATGTACCGTGATTTCTCAAAGCATTTATGAAACACTTCATACATAGTTACATAGGTTTAGTACGAGAATGTCAAAGGGCAGTATTTTCCTTTCAAAATCATGATATTTATTTAGTTATAGTTAAATTCGTCAACAATATGACTCATTTCGAAGTATTTGAGTTGTAACAAGCCCTCCAATCCTTTTAAAAATATTCTTTATTGAGATACAAGATTTCATTTCAAACGAGATTTTAGGACAATCTTACAAGATTCTATCAATATCTGAAAAGTAAGATGAATGACGAAAATATAAAATGTATACACATAATATATTACGCAAGGAACTTCGTTCCAACCACACTTGGTTCCACGACACTCACGCATTTTTTTGTTTTATAAAAATTGTAAGTTTTCGAAAAATTATATGACACTGACTAAAATTGAATACGGCAATGACAGATCTCGGTTCCAGTGAGAAAGAACAAGAAACGAAATTCTCAAATAATATCACCTTTAATTGGCTGCGTTATACTGTAATTTATACGTTCCCATCAATGTAGAGAACCGGAGATCTGTACTCCACAAATCATTCGATTCGCGTTGTTCTATTAGAACTAGAGTTTTCGGGGATAACAGCCCATTTATATCTTAATACTATAAAGAGGATAAAATGAGATCTTTAAAACTGTTTTTCAGATTAGTACTTAATAAGAGGGTAAAAACCCGTCAATTATATATATATATATATAATTGAAGAAAGTTTGATGATCATTATTTAATACATAAATGATTTATGAAAAATAAATATTGTACAAGTCTAATCATGAATGAAAAAATTAATAATTTACTGTTAAAATCGTATGATTACACTCGTGAGCTGCCTTTATCTTCAAGGTTACCCATTAGGAGGTCAGTACCATGTGGTGAAATAACAGCATTTTCACATTTGCGATACGTTAGCTACATTCTGACGCAGTGGGGTGCACTCCACTACAGTTTGTTCCCAGATGCTTTTATATTGTTAAGAAATAATGTACCGAGTGTACATTCTATTAACAGACATGTAATGGCTAAAAACTCGTTACTTTTACGTGGTAGAGCTATGCTGCTGCTATATTATGGTCATTATCACGATGGGTCGGCTCTAACGGGGAAAGACCACGCTCTCACAGAATTCCAGCGTTAAAGAGCAGCTTTATACTCTTGTATTTCGTGTGGTGAATGTAGAGAATCGGAGACCCCTTTTACTGGAAACGAGGCATTCCATCGTAGTCCTCGGGATTGACGTCGCATATGTATTTTCATTTTATCGAGGATAGATGTATATGTCTGTGGACCACAGCATCAAGTTAATATCAGGTGGACTGTGTGCTCGGTTGTCATTTTTATTCTATAATAATCCTGTTTTCAATAAATTATCAACAATTAAAGACATCTGGTTCCTGATTGAAACAGAAACAGAAACAGAAACAGAAACTTTTTTATTCAATATAGATTATAAATAATACTTATTGAAAGTCACTCTTTTGTTTGATTACCACTGGTTCGGAAAAAACCTCTGTCCTGGGAAGAACCAGCAAGAAACCCAGCGGGACTTTTTTTTTAAATAACAGCTTACAATCATGATGTTACACAAATTAACAACACAACAAATTAGAAATAGCTTGGTAGCGATCACCTCATTTCCAGGGGTTATTATCATCCATAAATTCCTTAA